TATCTATCTATCTATCTATCTATCTATCTATCTATCTATCTATCTATCTATCTATCTATCTATCTATCTATCTATCTATCTATCTATCTATATCTTTTCTTACACATGATTAAACTAGACATTTTTAGAAAAAAAAAAGGATTTTTGGTGATATATATGTGATACACTTCTGATTTATAGTGTACAAAGATGTAAAACGACTATTATCAAACAGGGTATATCACTCTGACCTACTGCCAAACTAATTGCTAGTTCTTTTCAACGAGATGGATGTTATTATTTAAACCCGTGGTTATATGAGCGCTATTTAGGTGTTACTTAAGGATTTACGGAGTCTCAATATTTACAAACGGAACAGAATCTGAATCCTTTTTGCCATCAAAAACTGTTAATAATCCCTGAAATGATTATGGAATGATTTATGTTTCCACTTTATCATGCCTCCTCTCTGGTAATGCTTCTCTTGCAAATAACAGTAAAGCTTTTCTTATAAGGAATGAACCACTGTGCCCTCTAGTGGACAGTGGAGGTTATCAGTTAATTGGATGGGACACATTTTAATTTAATATACCATCAAGTAACTATTAATCTTAACTCTAACATGTGTGTACATCATTAAGCACAACAGAATAGAATATTCCTTATTGTCAATGTTCCGCACAATATAAAACAGAACATCATTTTTTTTAAATTATTGTTTGTGTCCCTCCCCCTTAACGATGATGCCCTGGATGAGAGCCATATCGCCATCATTTAAATGTGATAATTACATTTATTTCCTCCTCCGCTGGATAAGCATAACATGTTTTTCACGAACCTATCCAAGATGCTAGAGAAGAACAGTAAAATAACAAATTATTATTTTAGGTAAACATTTCATTTCTCTGATTGATGAACATTATAAATAATTAACAGAAAATTCCTCACTAGCGCATTTAGTGAGTAAATATGTGACATAGTGACGTGTTTCTCTAAACCCACTCCCATCAGACCAACATGAACATTTCAATGAGCCACTTAAACATTCATTTTGCCCACATGGTGTCTGTTCCTGCACAGGTGGTGAAGGTCAGAGCTCCTAGTCTCCATGAAAAGATTTAGATTTTACATGAAAGTTGACCAAAAAAATGCACCATAATCTTTAAATGTGAAATTAAAGAAATATGAAGAAAAAATAAATAACAATGTGTTATTGGCGTTATTGTCCACTTGAGGGCAGCACTGTATCATTCTACTCCCATAGCTGAAACTATAAGATCTATTTTCAGTCCTTTACAAAAAAAAAAAAAACTTGGTGATTATTACATAGGAATATTTTTATTTATTAACTGTTATACTGTATTCACAAACAACCAAAGAATTCATTATTATTTCCCCACCTTTCTTATTTCAGCATGTCGGCTGTCCTGCCATAAGAAATGTGAAGTAAAGGTAAGAAATTTCTTTATTTCCTATTTAAAAATTGACAATGCTTCACATGTAATTTTGAATTTAATCTATTTAATTCATCCATTTTAGAGTTGCAGCTATAAATTGCTTTAGTAATCGTTTAATCTAGCGTTTTTTGATAAAAGAATTTTTTTCAAAATGTACTAATAAAAAATAAAGATAATTAATTAAACAAGTGTTTGAAAATTTAAAAAGAATTATAAATGGTAATACCTGTAAATAATAATATTTAAATTGAGGAGTTTTAAAGAGAAATAATTTACATGAGGGAAGGTTGTTTATATTAAATGGAAAATGTTTCTTTCTTTTACACGGTTTTGGCTTACAGTAATTGCTGCTCTGAGCTCATTGGATCACTATTCTACTTCACTGTCATTCAATTACTAAATTAGTTATTATTTTAATAACTGATGGATCTTAAACATTTCTTCAGGCCAAAATTTTTTGAGCTTAGTAACTTTGTTGTTTTATTTATGTGTTGATTCAAGTATTTTTCTGTTTATTAATATCTTTTCATATAGTATGATTATATAATTATACAATTTGTGATTTTTATTTATTTTTATTTTATAATTTATAGACATGTGTTTATTTTTATTTTAGCAATGACATCGTATATTAATTCACTTGTTAATTTATTTACCTTTTGTATTTGCATACTATGTATTGATTTATATTTAGTCATTGATTTGTATGGCATGTTTTTCTCTTCCTTTTTTATGGAAGCCCTTTCATATTCCTACCACCTGAAATAAATTAAAAAGCACATGGTATGTCATCATTTTTAATTAATTGAACTTTATTGATCTCACATTGGAGAGAGTAGCAGTGGGCTGCCATCTTGGGGCGCCCAGGGAGTAATCGGTGGTTAGGGATCTTGCTCAGAGATCCTGAGTGGCAGTCTGTGGGAGTGGGGCTCAAACTAAAAACCTCAGGATTCCAAGCTCTATGCCCTAACCACTAGATCATCACTCCCCAACTTTTAAGATATGTCATCTTTTTGACTTGTAAAGTCAATGTAATGAGATGCAATGACTTGAAATTCTGCAATGGTAACATAGGAAGTAAAACATAGTAACTTTAAATCTCATAATTACGACATACACTGTGCCGTTCTTTTACTTTAAGTTACGGGAACAATCTTCCAAATAAAGGAGTGATAACCTGGTTTTTTACATATACAATCTCTGTCAAATAGTCTTTAAATTCACATTTAATCATGTTTTGGGAGAAAAAAAACGAATGAGAGCTCATTTAATGCAATTTTCATGGCCCTTTGTGTTTCTCACTAGGATACGAATGAGAACTTGTATGTGCTTTGAAATGGATGCAGCATTAGCAATGTTAGCAGTTATGGTTTATTATAGATTAAAAAATACACTTGCAGAAACCATTGGTGGGTGATGTCTACAGAATCAACCCCCCATCCCAAATATCATAGGACGGTAGCATCAGAATAGATTTATGGAGTCAAAATTCCTACAAATTTACAGATTTGCTCTGCGAAAACAAGGACATATGGAAGCCCATTTACAACTTTAAATTGAAAAAAAAAAAAGGCATGTCATATTTATTAGATTTACAGTAATAATTAAAAGAATTCATGCACATAATTATGAGATTTAAATGAATAATTATGCGGTATGACTCATAATTTCTACTTTCAAAGTCAGAATTATACATTTTAAAGTCATATTTTGACTTTTAAAGTCCTTATTATGAACTTTAAAGTCATATGTTCAATTTTCAAAAGCATAATTTCGAATTTTAAAGCCATACTTATGAGAAACTAAGCCATAATTTCAATTGAAAGTTCCTTATTATGACTTTAAATCTCAAAAGTAATGTAAATGGACTTCCATAAGGATGAGACTTTATTGCATAGACTTTATCCCCTGATAGGGGGAGCTTCCAGGTTGTGGGACTGCAAAGGTTTTAAGGGATCTATAATTGTTTTTCTATTGTCTCTTCAGCCACTCTAAAACTTTTTGAAATCTTTCAGTAGTTTTTCATACTTTCAAATGTTTACTTTTTTTTAACTGTGTTTATTTTTTTGCGAGGGTTATATGACAAATCTTCAAAGTTGTGTTAAACACATAAAAGACAAGTGCTATACTTAGCTCTAGGAAGGACTAATAAAAAATAGAGGAATGTAAGTTCTGCAAGGGAGGAAATAAATTCATGTGGTGCAAACTTTTCTGCTTCCCGGTTTTTACGTCCCGACAATGAGCCTCACCGCATTTTATCCCAATCTGCAGTGGAAACAAGGAAGAATGCAGCAAACAGAATGCAAGCAGCGGGAGGGAATCAGAGGAGGGAACCAGAACAACTTTTAGTGGTTTTGTCATTGTAGACTGATTGGAAGGATAAAACAAAAAAAAGATCTACTATTTGCTCATCCATAATTCATTTCATCCAACACCCCCACCCTCTGAAGCCATCAATAACCCAAGATATTTCTATAGGAACAAAAGCCAAGAGTCTGTAAAGCATCCAAGAAAAAAAATCATCTAAATACCTTTAAAACCAAGCAAGGCCATTTGTGGTGTCAGTGTGGGTAATAATCAGAATATCACCAAGTCTTATTTATTCTGTTGGTGACAGACACTGGACACGAAAATAGTCAAAGAGGACATAAAACACTGATAATTGTGATGAGCTCTGCAAAGCAGAGGTTTAGAAATGGAGGAAAAAAAATCCATAATTTGCCATTTTGAAACCAATGCACTGCAAAAACTCTCCATCTAACCAAGTCTTTGCAATCTTAAATAAATAGAATAAGAAATCCAATTTGAAACGTCACCTTTGTCATTAGAGGTTTCCCACAATGCACCTTGAATAGTAGTGATCATTCATGGTCACTAGACAAGCAGATAATGCTTTGTGAGAGCTCTCCTTGCAAAGCATTATGGGATTTGACAGTGTTCCGGTGTCGGGTAGCGACAGCAGCGACAGGTAACAAAGATGCACCGGGCTGGGAGGCAGCGTCACAAGACAAACGAGGAGCGAAAAGTAGTGAACAAATCTCTGGATTTTCAGTTGACTGAGTTCATGATAAAGTCCACTATATAGTCCTACCTCTATGTAGTGATTGAGGGGTTAGGAATTAGGGCGGATGTTTGGACACAGCCTATAGTTCTAGAAAACTGACACACGTCCTCTCATATACCTGTAATCATAAAAAGATGTTTTTTTATTCAGAATCAATGTAACTTAATTCAACCATTATTCAGTTAGCTGTTTGCCTGAGTTGCTGCTTTACCCGCAACTTAATTTTAGCCAATGATCCTTGGGTGAAATCTTTAAAAATCTTTGGAAAAATATTCTGCTTCTACCCAGTTTAGATTCACTGTTTACAGGACTCCTACCCTTATTTGCAGCATCTATATTAATTACCTGTTTGCATATAGCGTGAACTAGCCTTTGTATATATATATATACAGATATATTTTCTATCTAAGGAAAACCAGTTGATTGCATTGACTCATTGACTTGAATGCAATCCCTCACACTAAGCCTGCTCGTAGCGACAGTGGAGAGGAAAACTCCCTTTTAACAGGAAGAAACCTCCAGCAGAACCAGGCTCAGTGTGAGCTGCCATCTGTCGAGGTCGACTGGGGTTTAAGGAGACAGAAGCAGAGATACAAAAAGCAGCTGTAAAAGGCGGCCCCGTCCAGGAAACACACAGCCAGGCCGACGAAGATAAGCTGAAGAGAAACAGGACCACACTGGAAAACAGGCCGATCTCCAGCATCTATAAACAAGGGTGTTGATGGAAGCAGCACAGCTGATATTCCTCTCCAGGATGGCGTCACAACCAAACAGGAACATACGAGGCAAAGCTACTCTGGGAAAAAGCAGAGAGAGCAGAATGTTAGAGATGGAACTAACAGAATAGGAGAATAGAGAGAGAATGAAGCAGAATGATGAAATGGGGGTCCCTATGTCCTCAAGCATTCTAAGCCTATAGCAGCATAACTATAGAGATAGCTCAGGATAACCTGAGCCACTCTAACTATAAGCTTTATCAAAAACTAATCTGGAGAAGTATCTGTGTAAACTAAAGATTAGGGTGACGGTCCTAAATAGTCGCTGGAT